TCTTGACTTATTAATTAATCATATTTAATGCCTCCTATTAGTCAATGGAAGTGATTTTCATTTAGCTGCAGATTGGATCTGTGAGCTGTGAACAGGGAACCGATTCACAGCGCACCACGTTTGACTCACAGATGTCTTGTTCCAGCCAAACCTCCCACCGTAAGAAATGCAAAAAGTACAGGATGAACTGGGGTTTTTGGCACTCCGCATGCAGCTCCGCAGCCATCTGGGTGCTCCAGCTGTGGTTTGGGGTTTGATAAGCAGGCTGAAACTAAAGCAATCAAGCAAATAATACTTTTTCTTCATGGGGACAGGAGAAGGTGAACTCTTAGGAAAAAAACCTGAATGAGCTCCTGATCTCTGCATGCCAAGATGAAGCAAGATCAGCCTTTTTCCTTAAAGCCACAGCCCTTCCATAAGAGCAGGTTTCCACCCTGCCCGAAGAGCCCAGGCGACACTTTCTAGTGCTTTTTTTCTCCCTTTACTCTTAGACCAGTGTCACCCTGCCTCCTGACAGCCACCACCTCTCCCCGGTGGCTCTACAGCTGTAGGTGCTCATCTGCTCCTGCTGCTGATCCGCCCCCAGCTGCCAGTCAAAGACAAGACAGAGTGTTCTCAGGGTACCTCCAGGCAGGATCAGAACGAGCAGAGATTTTTCTATTAAATTTGGCAGAGGGCTTGGCAGAAGCACATGCCTCTCTTACTGTGCGTCGTCTTTGGAGGGCAATGCCTATCTCTAAATTTTAATCCTCAAGTACCGTTGGAATTGCCATATGGCAATGAAGCCCAACACCAGTATTGCTTGTGTTATTTAGACATTAGGAATCGTGTCTTTCATGCATTAAATGTTTTTTAAAAAATGCAAGATGGGATTGTGTTGTGGTGAAAGGGGTTTTACTTCATTCGCAATAGGGAACAGTCGAAAGAAGATACTTAATCCAAATTAAGTTCATCAGATGAAGCAAGTGCAGAACAGAGAATGAAGATCTGCAGCCGGCTGGCCATTTGGGTCAACCCACCGCCGAAATTTAATCAAGAACGTTTCAGTCAAGCCTGAGAGTGCCGTGGGAAGCTAGAAACAAGATGCTGCAGAAACTGCAAGGTCTCGTCTCACACTGCGTGTTTCTGCCTATGAGCAGTGCAGGAAATCTTTTAGACTCCACTTCCTATTAAAATCAAGCTGTGAGCAAAGACATTAAAAGTACAGTTTACAGCTGGTTTGCAGAACAGGAATCAGCTTTATCCTTTACTTCATATGTACTTGTAGATACGGTGCAGTACCTGACTGCAAGTATGGCCAAACTACAACTGCTGCTGCAGTCTCCTCATTCCCACAGCTTGCCTCAAAAAGTGCTACGGCACCTATTATTGTTAATATATGGCTGTTAATTCTTCACAAAAATAAAAAGAGAGAACAAAGGCAGCCTTTAAATTCCTGTACTCACAGCTGTTTCCACATAACAACATCCCGTTCTTATCTTCATGAAGTCTTCTCCCTGTGATGCATGACAGAAGGGTGTGGGAGACAAAGAAATGTCCTTGGTGTCTCCAGTCTGTGGGTGCAGAAGTGCTATATTCAGAGGCAGCCGTTCTGAATACTCCCGAGGAACCATATCCAAAATACTGGATGTTACGTGGTACAGAAACCATAAGGAGTCATTAAGATTCTTAGTTTTCTCTTGCACGTAAGGGGCAGCGTCTTCTGGAGACCTGAACCGGAGGTTAGAAAACACAGCTTTGGTTCTTCACTTCTCTTTGTGTCTTGATGTGTGGAATGATTGACCTTGGAAGCACCGCTTCAGCCCTTTTTAAACCTTGTTTCCCCATTTGCAAAATGTAGGTGCGATGCTGGTTTTTTTCAATCTGCCTTTGGAACAGGGAACATGAAAGGTACCAAATTTTCTCAAAACAAAAATAAAACCAAACATCTCGGTGTAGGAGAGTATTAATAACCCAGGAAGCCATGCTGGCATTTGGAGAAGGAATTTCATTTTTAAAGACTGGCTGGACTATTGGTGTTTTACTTCTAAGTTTGTTCATGAATATTGGAGAGGAATTATTTTGCCTTACTCGAAATACAGCTCTTTAGTCACCCATAGATTTCTTTGACAGACTGATGCTGTTCTGAAGATGAAGTATTTTACAGTACTGTCCCTGGAGCATCCACATCCCCTTCTTTCCTTTGAGGCTGTAAGAGTAAGGCATTTTGGCTGCCTCCGTTCCCTCAGCCACTTCCTTGGGTATAAGACTGGGGTCTTGTAATTAGGGTACTGAGGAGGCAAGGAAGGTGATCAGAGTGTGAATATGCAGGCCCCCTTGCCTAAAACCCCAGTTACATGTGACCGATACGTTGTTTTATTTTTAAATAGCCTCTGTACCTTCCTCCTCTTAGCTCAGTTTCGTTCAGATTGCATCACCTGAAGAAAGAGGGATGTGGAGTCGAACTGAAGGCTGACACACATCACCCCACCCGCCCGATGAGCCGCAGTCTGGCTGCTGGACCGATTTCTCAGTGTGCTCTGCGGGCTGTAACACAGCGAAGTATTTGAATACAGCAGCTCCGGCATCCCCACACGTACATCCACACCAAAGGCACTGCTGTTTCCAATGTGCGACGTGATCTAATCCCATCAGGTGAAGGACAAAGGTTACTCCGGAGACTTCTCCTGCATATGTTCTGCCCCTCCTTTCATTTTACTTCAATGTTTTGCCGAACTTTGGGGGCCTAGTTAGCGAAAGCCGCCTGCTTTCTAACGTGGAGTTCTTACTTGCCTGGCTATGTGCATGGCTTCTGGGGATGAATACTGGTTATTTTAGTTGCTACTTCCAGTGGATTTCATGCCAACTGAACAGCCAGGGATGCATTAGCGTCACTTGAGGAATACGATACATCAGTCAGCCACTGGTTTGCAGTTTCGGCCTTTTCTGTTAAATATTATGGCTATACTGCTGTTTAGCCAGGCAGAGTGGACAGCATAAAAGCTGAACAGGGGCTTTGTAAACTGGGCGGGGACTAAGCTGAGTTCTTGCAATAATCTGCTCTCTGGCTGGTTAGCAAGTCTTAGCAAACCTTCCAAAGTCCCTCTACCTCAGGAGCATACACAGCCCTTTCGCCGGTGACCGTGCAGTAAGCTTGACACATATGCTCAGTAGAGACCAAAAAGCTCCAGGTGAAGCGTTTGCGCTCAGCCTAGACTCACGCTGGAACTGCCTTGTTACCAGCAGCCCCAATTTGAAAGCTTTTCGGTTTAAGATTACAGAGCGCTCTCACTTTGGCTGGGGTCTGTGGGATCCTACAGGTATGACAGGACTTCAGGGTGACAGCAAGTGTTCAGGGAACAAGACGGCATGGATGCGCCCTCTTTCTACCTGGAGGTATCAATATTCCATGGATCCCAAAATTCACCTCTTCAGCCAGGATACAGAACAGGTCTATTACCTTGTTTTTCAGGAACAGAAAGCCTGGAAATCATTTTTGGCCAAACCACGTGTGGGAATCACAGGTGTTTACAGGGTTTGTCTTGCTTTCTTACCGCTCACTGGAAAGCAGACTGGAGGAGAAGCACGGGAGACTAATGGAGAACCGAGTAGGAAGAAAACTCTTAATTCTTATGACTCCATTCAATGAATGTTACAGTCTATTATCTGCTGCTCTGGATCTAATTTCAGACTGAAATGGTTCACCTGGTCACTAGTGTTGCAGTACATGCTGACAGTGTTAAGACTCTAAGTCAGCATCTGCAAGGAAAGTCTTCACCGAGCTAGCATGATCCTCCCTTAGGGATTTGCCTTGTGCAATAGCCTTAACATCTGGCTTAGCTTCCCAGAGCATTCTCACAACGTCCTGGCCCAGGAGCTGCTGAAATCCTGCTTGGTTGCACTGTCAGGAGATGTATCTCGTGCTCTCCTCTCAAGCGGAACAGAAGGGACTGACGGAGCTCCATGGCAGGTGGTTACAAGGACTGGCCCCACTCCGTTTGAACCTGGTCCCTTTTCACTTCGCACGGCGTTGCTTCAGGAATGGAGCCTGGCATCTTTAGCTGGAGTTTTATTCTTTATGGAGTAACCTCTTACAATAGGGAGTGCTGGAAATAATAGTTCGTATGTCAGCTGGGAGCTCTTGGGAATGAAGATGCTGTATACCTACATATTCGCACAACTTACAGTAGAAAAATAAAACATGCCTCTCCTCCTCTCAGGGCACTGTCAAATACCTTTTACGACCACACGGACAGAATACCACGGGACCAAGAGGTGTATTTCCCAATTCCTTAATGCTTCATTTTCAGATCTGCCTCAACATACATAAGCTCTGACCAAAACTAATATCTACACTTTTAGAATTACTAAAATCAAGTATATTGTTCCAAACTGGTAAAACATAGCAAATGCATTTAAGTTATTAATTCCAGAAGGGATTAGCGTGGCAAACCCTCTAGCTCATCCACTGAAGAACCTGAAGAAAATGAGCAATAGTCAGCACGCTATAAAGGTACAGCCTCTCTCTCAAATGCCTCAGTGACAACCTGGGAGAGAAGGCAACAAGAATATCCCAGTCATACATCAACACATCATCCACTGCATTACTCTTAATTGAAAAAAAAAAAAAAAAAAGAAGAAAAAAGGCAGTATTTCTGTATCTAGCTGAACCTGTGCTCCTGGTTCCCTGGGAAAAGCCCAGGAAGTCTGAAGGAGGGGGTGGCTCTTCCCAGAAGCCTTGCCTTCCCAACCCCATCAACCAGCGCTTCTTTTCAGATCCTAAGAGAGACAGCAATGATTGGGACAGCGAGATGGACTTTGTCCTTCTTAATCATCTAAAATCAGCAAGGCCTCTGGTAGTAGTTGCCTAGATTCGGCATGGATCCACCAGGGGATTTCATGAAGTAAGCGGGACCCAGCCCTCTCCGTAACAATGATTCTGACGCTTTAATTCTACTACCCACCTTCAAGCACTGCACAAAGGAACCTTAGGATAACTTCAGAAACTTCACAGCACATTAACGGCAGGACCAAGTACTGCAGATATTATTGTATTTATTATTATTATAGCCATACCTACTTTAGGGCACATGAAGGGGGTTTTTTCCTTAGTTTTTCACCAGTGCATTCTAGAATTGGAAATGTTTGCTCTTTGCTCACACATGTCACCGTCCCACTCTGGTAACTGAGCAGCTGCAATAGAGCTCTCCAGAAATCCCACAGATCCCGAAGGCTCGATCTCCATGGGTGAAGGGCATTCAGGCAGCCGGGGCCATTCGGACTCCACAGTAGTTCTAGATTTCTGGGGCAGTTCATACGATTCCACTAATTTTGATGGAAAAACAGCTGTATCCTTACCAATAATTTCCACCGGTGTCTGAAAATCATCTTCTGGTGCCATATAAATATCACTGTGGGACTCTGTAACCAGCAGGACTGAGTTTCCAGGTGTAAGAACAAGTTGTGGATCTTCTAAACGGAAAACATCTCCCAGATCTTCTGCCTCTGGCATGCTGTGCATCAGCAGAGGTTTAATTCCTTTCTGAAGTTCACCGCTAGTGAAATTCAGACTGCAGTCTGCCTGAAGTGATCCGTCTTCTGAGTAACCACAATAAGCATCTAAAAACTAAAATAAAATTACTCCAAATGAGCGAGGCGAGTTCTGTGCTACCAGGTCCATCTCCCACCAAGGGAATCACTGAGAGATATCTGGGTGCGAGGTTTCCCGCAGACTTCCAGCGCACAAAACTGTCTGCCACAGGGGCCAGCAAAAGCAAAGCAAGAACGCCGGAGAGCCTTTCAGCAAGTAGAGCACAACCCTCGGAGGCGCTTTGGGGAGAGACTATCACCGTTACCATTTCGGGAATCACTTCTTCTACACATCTTTTTATGTAACTTCTACTTCCCAACAGAAGCCTGCTAACAGCTTTTTAAATACTGCTTCAGGAAAAACTAGTGGAAGGGTACTTGAGAAAAGGCCTCTCCTCAAAAAAAAAAAAAAAAGAGGGCTTTTTTTTTTGCTTTAAAAACTGTTATGGACTGTGGTTCTTTCTAATACAGAAAGGCAACTCAACAATATCAGTCACAACCAGTCATCGATAGGTAAGAAAAAAATGACATAGTGAAATATACTTGGAAACCATACTTGTGTATTTTAAAGCACAAATGATGAAATGCTTGGCTGATGGTTCAACTCAGGAGAACCCTGTGCCGTGTAAAGCCAAACACCCTCCGCCCCGCACCCTCCTCTTCCTCACCACCCCATCGAAACAGCACCTTGGTACAAAAGAACGCGCGTCTCCGTCTCCTCTTCACACCGCTGCTGCTAAGGATACTGAACGCTCCTCTGATACAACTACATCTGCTCCTCCTCGGACCAGCCATACTTTGGAAGGAGTCTTATTCACCAGTCCTCTTTTTAGCCTTAATTTTAAAAAAAAATATGATGTTGTATACAATTTGCTAGAACAAAACCAAATCTTTGCCTGAAATCACTTTTCATTGCCCGGTATGGCTGATTCAAATGTTTCCTAGGTAAGGTTCGCTTTGGTGAAAATAAAGAACATTTAAACAAGATCACTACGTGATGAAGTATCAGAAACGTACAAACAGATCTGACGTTGGGGTGACCCTTCCTTTAGGGTGCCCTCACTATTAGGCAAATCCTGATACAAGGGAAGTTTAATTTACGCACTGGCGGAAGACCATCTGAAATGACCTATTTGCCAAGGCTTCTACCGTCAAATTAAGACCTCCAAATACAAATTAAGAACATGAATAAATGAACATTCCATAGTTAGCTGTAAACGAATGCAAAATGCCTGGAAAAAACTCATCGGCAAGAGACGTCATTGCCCATGAGTGCTATAGTAACAGCGGTTTTGTATGTGGGCTATCAACTGCACATTCTAGCTGCATTTTTATTTCAAAACCGAATACAGTTCCCCCCCTCGTTCATCACACAGAACTGCACCCATGTATTTTTTCTGCTCCTTTCCTTGTTACATTTGGAAATCCATCAAGTTCAATCGATTGTTGCAATTTCTAGGACAATGAAAGCTACTTTTCTTTGCTGCTGCCATCCAAAATGTAGACTGTACGGCACGCAATGGTGGGAGCCTTTCGCGGGAGCAACAGGGGCACCAGCACTTCAGCTCCCGAGGTTCAAAAATCCAAAACACATACGGAGTAGTCCCTTTCCAAAGAGAGCAGCAGAATCAAGTACTTCTGCATTCAGTATCCCAACGCCTTAACCCTGGCGTGATTTCAACGGGACTATTATCAATAGGAAAATGTCCTGATGAACTTTAGCGATTCCTCTAATTGTCCGCAGTATAAGCTCTAAACCAGGAGGCAAGGAGAGAGCGTAACAGCAAGCTGTGCCGAGTTTTGTTGTAATCGCTTATTCAGAGTAGCTGGCTCCACTGTCCTGCAGCTCAAGTAAGGAGACACATTCCAGCCTCGGTACCCAACCCTCTGCTGAACTTTGTCGTGCATTTCTGCTTAGGAGAAATGACCTTGTGAGCCCCAAGCAGTACCGTACCACGAGCCTCACTGCAGGAAAAAGAATGAAGTTCTTACTAGGACACCCAGCCTTTCCTGCACTCCAGTGTGGTGCTCTGCAACGCTTATCTACTGTTAAAACAGTAACAAAACGTGAGAAACAAAGACCGTTTTGTTTCTCTACAACAGGTAACTGAGCGAGAGAACTTCTGACAACGGCGTCCCTACTTTCTAAAATGTATTTCGGCAAAAAGCTGACAAATGAGAGGGAGGCTCCGCACCCTGTCCCAAAGCAAAACCCGCTGTTGCCATGCCCTTCGTGCAAGAGCCAAGGTCTGACCACTCAGTGGAATTGCAGAAAACGACTCAAAACACCAGTACGTTCTCATGGCAAGAAATACTGGAGATGATAACCTACCGGTTTCACCTGAATCCTTCTCCAACAGATAAATTCATTTTCAAGGGAGGTAAAGACTTGAGCCAAAGACCGGAGCCACTGCTCCACTGACTGACTGGAAAAGTGTCTTCAACGTCTTTTGCCACTGTAAAGTTTAGATCTCAACGTACTAATTGGAAGATATTTTCACAGTGCTTTACACATTGTAAAGGTCTTGTAGAAGACATTTTAGTCCCAAGACATACATATCGAAAATCCACCCGCTTTTAAGTCCTTACTTTTGGTACAATACTACTGGATGAAAATTTTTGCCAGTGAGGCCTTGGAGAAATTACCTAAAGCAGACTGGGATCTGTCGTCCTGATAGCGTTCAACACTTGAGCGTCGCCAAGATGGAAGGGTTTACCTTCCGATCATCGTTTCTGTCATCCGTGCACCAAACTGCAAGTCAGTACAGATGTACACAGATTTAACTGTGCAACTCCTCACACGCCAGACGACTGCATCCGTTTTGATGTCATACTCATTACTATAGCAACAGCACATTCATTACTATGGCACAAGAAGGTAACGGAACACATAAAAGAGATCTCATCCTAGCCAAGCCGCCCCAAACAGAGCGAATACCTGTTGACTAGGAACAGTGACACTGAAGCTTAAGCAGATCTTGCCTGGCCCTCAGCTGGGGGGTGGGGGGAACCAAACCTCTTGCCTCACTGCCCCAAAAAATTGTTTTGACATTGTCTACCTTCACCTCGCCTCCAGCTTTCACTAACATGGTAAGCACCCATCTCTTCTGCAGTCTTTATGAGCTACCCCTGATTTGAAGCCATTTTACATCATGACACAGAACAGGTGTGGAAGACAACTGCCTCACAGGCCATCACCTATGACTTCAAGCTATTTTGTAGGTGCCATGAGATAATCCCTCCAGTCACCAAGAGCTGAAACAAGCTGTGTACAAACTCAGGACACACAAAGCACTGGGAACTGTGGGAAGTTATTTTTGAAAGGCACGTTTCCTTTCATAAACTTAGACTCCAAACCATAAAGGGAAGTAGCATATCTTTCCTCCCTCGGTTACTACTGCCAGCATCTCCCTACTGAAGTAGAGCGACATCATCTAACACCAGCATGGTCTGAAGAACACAGAAGTTTCAGTGGAGCAGTTGGGGTGCAGTAAAAACAGAAGCCTTCAAGCACGTTAGGCCCTTAGCAATAGTGTGAGCAGTACCGAAGCTTTTTGTTTTCACATCCAATCCCTCAAGTTTCATTTTGGACAAAGAATTCAGAATGATTTGCAAGAATGTGAGCGCGTTGGCCTAGTAAACTGACATGCAAAAACATCCGTTTGAAGTGACTGCCAAAAGGCCACTTAACCAGCTAGCAAACCTGCCGTAGTGTAGCCACCGCTCTATCCTGCGAGTACAGCACAAACTGGACTTCCTCCCACCCCCCGAAAAGCGCTGCCCTGACCGACACACAGCACCCCGCGGAAGGCAGAACTTGCACAACAAACCACTCTGAATTAGCTTGCAGGAAGTGGATTGTTTGATGCCCACAAGACACTGCTACAACCAGAACTAATTGTCCTTTCACCTTATTGCAAAAAAGCCCACACCTGTGTCATATTGCAAGTTATTTTACGTTGGGAAACAGAGCTCAAATATTGGTTGTGAAACAGGCAAGAACAGGTGGAGATAACAAACTGAACTAAGCCTTGTCAGAGAACAGAGGCAAGATGCTCAGAACTTGCCCCTGCCCCCCTCCTCCCTCCCCCCCATGAATTCATTAAACTCGAGCTCGTCGTAAATACCCAATGTTATCCATTTGAAGTCAGTGAAGGGCATCTGATCCAGAGCAAGTGCTTGGCAGGCAGGGAAGCTTCCTGGAGCCAGCTAGCAGCAACTCCCATTCCCTTTTACTACCCTCCTTCAAAGAGGAAGGCCAAGGATACGGAATGCAGCACAACCTAGTCGTTTCTTGAAAGCCTGTATGATGTAGTGCCAATGACTTAACTTCACATGCAAAACCCATCGCCTCAGTACAGCGTGATGCATCAGGCCTCCAGCTTTAGGAGCCTAGCTCCATTTGCAACATCTTCAAAAAAACTGGAGTATCAACACCAGTTAAACCTAACGAGGCAAATCATCGGTTTTTCAGATTGTCTTCAGACCCTTGAGAACTGCCTGGCTTTTCTGCTTTCGTGTGGTGCTGGTTTGCAGCAGCATTGCAGAGCACGCAGTGTTAATTACAGACATAACGAGAGAGCAGCTAGTGCTCAAGATTCAAAGCAGCAACTGATGTTAAGAAGAATAGCAGGCTTTGTTCCCGGTGTTAACAGACACTCAGTGACACAGCTCGTTCTGAACACTTTTATTCTTACAGTTCTAGGTTTGAACTGCACATGCAGAGTTGCATAAGTCACAATAGAGATTTACAGTGGATTCTATTCTATGGTAGAGTGCAATCCAGAATCCTTGAACAGTATAAAAAACAACTTTAAACATCAAGACCTTGTTAGGAGCAAAAGGGTTAAAGCTTCCCCAAGTATTTCAGCTCTCCTAGATACCTAGTTACTAGGTACTGTATGTTAGACATATTTAGAATTGAAGAGCTGTGTAACACTAAACAAACTTGAACATCCTGATGTCATACCATCTTTCTTAGTTCTTTCCCACATTTCTGGCAATTAAGAATAAGTCAAAAACCCTGCCACCTGCAACCAGCTAATACAGACAAAAATAACTACTCCTTACTTGCCTGTTTAGGGTTGTACAGTGTTAAAGAAAATATTCCCTCAATGGCATTTGTATCTCACATCAGCTGAAAAAGCAATGTAACAAAAATAAAGGTATAACATCTTTGAAAATAAATATAAAGAGGGAATGCAGACAAAGTGTCGAAGATTTTTTTTTTGGCAGGTAACATTCATAATATACAAAATATAACTTATTCATATTAGCCAAGGAAACATTCGTGAGTTCCTGTAAACTGTTTTAATCCACCTCCTCCATGCGTGATGTGTCATCATCTCCTTCAAGAGGTGGCATCTCCTCAGTAACCGCTGGACTAGCTTCTTCTGCAGCAGTATCATCTTCATCAATGCCTGTGCAGGAAACACACATACCATTAATGCCGGTATCAGAACTCAAAGCTTTCTTCTCCCTCACGCTGCAACTGATCTGGGCGTTCCCCCTTTTCCCCCCAAGTACAAAGAATCACCAAGGTGATCTCCAGACACTCCGTACCCTACAAGGGCACGTAACCACACCCAGAGTTTACTGCAGTCAGGACGGATGGCTAACTCACCCAGGCCAAGCTTGATCATTCTATAAATGCGGTTGGCATGCGTCTGAGGATCTTCTAAACTGAAGCCAGAGGACAGGAGTGCTGTCTCGTACAGCAAGATGACAAGATCCTTCACGGACTTGTCATTCTTATCAGCCTCTGCCTTCTGCCTCAGTGTTTCAATGATGGAATGATCAGGGTTAATCTCCAGATGTTTCTTCGCTGCCATGTATCCCATTGTGGAGTTGTCCCTTAATGCCTGTGCTTTCATGATCCTCTCCATGTTGGCAGTCCAGCCATACGTACTTGTTACAATACAGCATGGAGAAGTAACTAAACGATTGGACACAACCACCTAGGAAAGTGAATATAAAGCACAAGTCTGTAATTTAACATTTCAACATACACTTGATTTACTATCCCCACTGATTTCGTAGAACCATTTAGGTTGGAAAAGACCTTTAAGGTCATCGAGTCCAACTGTAAACCAAGGTTTAACTTTGAAATGCTGCTGCATGTCACGAAAGACCCAAGACTCATGAGAGAAAGCTGAAGAATTTGCAATACCAACAAGAGAATCACTGAGCTTCACTAAAAATCAAAACAAAGTCACCTTGTATCTAGAAAACTGTATCTTGCAGATAGATTGCTCTCCCTCTCAGAAAAGGCAATTGTAACAGACATTGCTACCTGAGCCTTCCCTGCAGCAACTTCATTTCATATCATTAAACAACTTGCAACATCTAGATGAACTGAGTACTACTAATTACCTTTTCTACTTTCTTTTCAAGGATATCTTTCATTATTTTGCAAAGGTTTTCAAACTTGGCTTTCTTCTCCTCCTGTTTCTTTTTCTCTTCCTCATCTTCTGGAAGCTCCAAACCCTCCTTTGTTACAGAAACCAGGGTCTTGCCTTCAAATTCCTTCAGCTGCTGCACACAGTATTCATCAATAGGCTCAATCATGTAGATCACTTCCAGGCCATGTTTGCGAAGACGCTCCACAAAAGCGGAGTTGGCCACCTGATCTTTTGTTTCACCTGCAAGAAGCAAGAATGCCACAGTTGTGGTTTGAGCCTCAGCACTGTAACGCGGCAGCTTGTTCATTTTCTGAAAGAGCCTGTGCAATGTTTCAGTGATGCTTGATGTCAGTACCAGGGAAAAAGGTGCACAAAACTGGTACGACAGGCTACTGCAAAGGTTAGGCTGGCCTGAAGAGACTCAAGCCTTTCAAACTGACACCACAGCTTGTAATACTTCACTGCTTTCAAAGTAAATTTCCATTTCCTGGAATGCCAGGTAAGAAGTGTTTCCCATTCCTCCCAAGGAGG